ATACCATGGACTCCGAACAAGGTGCGTTCATCTAGGTCGCCCTGGTAATATGACCAAGTTGCGAAAGCAAAGTAAAACCATTTCTATACAACGAAAGAAGCGCGATCATACTAAAGACTTAATCATCTTGGTCTTCATACCTTCTATTAAAGTAATGAGACCAAATGATCATGAAAGATGAAGCAATATAACTGCAACAACTAAAAAATGAGGCAAAAAGATCTCCCAGTCGTCCAAGGAGAGAGACTAAAGGGGACTGCGACCAAACTTAAGGTCAAGCCAGCCTCATATCTGCAATATAAAAAGTTACAAGTTCAATATGAGCCAAAAAGTGATGACAGCTCTTTACATTATCAAGATAATGAAACAGGTGCTTGATGAAAATAAACTTAAGATGTCCAGTAATGGCATAAATAGTAGGAATAATAGGGAGATACAGAGAAGGGAATTAACTTGTTGAAATACGACAAAGTATTTGCTCAAACCTGCTTGATTTTAGTCAGGTCCCCCTGACTGAAATGGGGAGAAAGCATATTCTCAAGAGCATCTGGATACTGGTAGGCAAATTCCATCACTTCCGGGAGTGCCAGAAGAAGATGGCCTTCTTCAGTTCTGGAAAAAAAAATATGTAGCACCTTAAGTAATCAATTAAATGATAGTAGCACGATAGGAGTGATATGAGTATTCTTAATAATTATAAAGCCTACCAAAATCTGATGCAAGTCACTGGATGCCTATAAATTCAAATAAAGTATTGTTGGGGAGACTTTCATTTCATAAGTGCATGAAGAAGAGGTTCAAAGGTCGATCTAACCAGAAGACGACGGCTGATCCCTGAAGTAGTGCAGCCGTTTGGCTTTAATACGGTGTTTAGCTTGAGGTAGTTAACGAGACATTCCCCACTCGTCTCGGGTGAAAATAGGTTGACCTTCTTGACCTATTGTTAACGCAATACTTTTACAAGAATAAGTTCCAGACCTAATGATGTACATCAAATGAAGGACGAAAGCTCAGTCCGTATTCACTTGGTATTAAAGCAGAAGCAGCCGGAGTACATCGGAAATCAGCCGTCCTCTTCTGATTGGATCGATCTTCGAACCACTTCTTCATGCGCTTTCACACGAAATCCAAGTCACCTCAACACTTATATCAAAGCCCAGTTACTCTTCGTATCTATAAATAAAGTATTAAAGAGGAACTTCATTAACATTAAGGATACCTGAAAGGTGAATCTTGAGATATAGCTTTTCATTCACACGCACAGAATTAATATATAGGCATCTGAAGAGTTAGCTAAATTATTCACTGAGTGAGCTATGCTAGACTATCTAGTTTTAGCTGAAGTCAAAACAGTTGCAGGCAATGACCAGATGCTGAATGAATTGATGGAACTTGAGAAAGACGGAGATCTCAGGATAATTATAAATTTTTTTAAACAAATATGGAGCCTTTTAAGCCGTAAAGCACTCGATTCTTCACAGAGAATTATATTCACCCTAAGCTATTCACTCTATTTGAATGTACCGATCAGATAGTTTAGATGTTACAAGAAAGGAGATAAAATATGGGGAAATGCCTGGCCTTCCTTGAAATTCTCATGTTCCCTGCGACCAAAGGGCACTAATGGCAATGTGGTGAAGTTGGTACGTGTCGAGATTACACGCTGCACTATAATCGTTTGAGTCCCGCTAGGGGTATTGATAAGACTTAGGTGAGGTCAAAACTGCAGTCAACTCTGGATGAGAGAACCTTTTGGGATAACAAGGATATGTGAAATCCAATGGACAAGTCAGTTTTAATCAGATCATTGTGGGAAAATTTAACTACCAATCCCCTTATTACCTTAAGCGAAATAGGGTGAATATACATAATATATAAGCTACAGACAGTGATTCGACGTTGAAGGAATTGAAAAAATTAATAAGACTGGGATTTCAGAGTAATTATGAATTTTTTTAACACAAATATGAAGCCCTATAGACAAAAGGAACTAAATTCTTCTCAGAGGATTCTGTTCGCCCAAGGCTACTTATTTGTTTATCCAGGTACTACATTTAAAGTACCAATTGAGATAGTTTAGAGGATACTGGCAGGAAGATTTAAAAATATCTCCAGGGTGCAGCAAAGTTGCTTAATTGTTTCAAAGCTAGTCATTTAGAACATTCATGGGAACATTAATTTCTCTATTCGTTAAAATTAACAGATTTTCGATGTCAAAAGCAAGGATAGTCGAAAAATGGCGGCTTTCAAAGCTTCGAATGTGCCTTCAGCTATCGTATCAGAGTAACCACAAATAAACGGTAAAGATGACACTAAAGAGAGGAAAACTATAATAATTTGCTGACGGTGTCTGCCTAGAATATGAGCTCTTTATATAGCATACAAGTCTGCTAATGGTTAGCGTAGGCAGTACTGTGTAGGCAAAACTATTAATCTTGGGGGAAGCTAGGGATAGAAAATACAAACAAGGTTCTAGGCTTAAAAATGTTCGGTAACAAATTGAAAATGGAGGACAAGGTTTAAATAGCGTAAAAAATGTTGCATGAACAAAAGAAAGTAGTGGCCTAAGGAAATAATCTTATACAAAACCACATGGCAATAACTTCATTGAACGCACTTAAATTCCGCTAAATGGCATGTCGTGACACCGGGCAACTGAAGCAAACTGCTATCTTCGAGCCACAAAGCCTGACAAAGCATCTGCTGAACGTGGTTGGCGTAGAGTAAGGCAGAAAGCCATCCAAGATGAGCACATGTGTCGATAATTGCCTGATCTCAGGGACCGGGTTGGAGATAAATGCAGATAAGTAGAGAAAAGCAAATTAGAATCCTACCTGATAGGCCATAACAGATTATCTGGATGACACTAGCCAGCCACCAAGTGGCCACCATTATATTATTTTCGAAGATGCCAAAGAAGCACAAGTATGCACTATTTAAGTAATTAAGTTAATTCAGATTAGGATTTATTAAGCTTATTGTTTTCGACCTAAGAAGAGCAGACAGATAATCAGTCAATCACTCTTCAGATTAATTAATTAAGAAAAATGAAGTCTTGATATCACGTCTACCTTAAGACACGAATACAACAATTAAAGATTAACCAGTGTTGTCGATCCAATTTAGTTCATTTGATCATTATAATGAGATGTATTCACTCTATTTCGTGTAAGGTGATAAAGGACTGGTAGTAGAATTTTCCCACAATGATATGAGTTGAGCTGACGTTTCAATTGAATTTTACATAGCCTTGCTTTCCCAAAAGTTGTTCTCGTCCAGGGTGGACTGCAGTTTCGACCTCACCTCAGTCTTATCAGCC